GTTCTTAGCAATGCATATTACTAATCAAAAATTAAGTTTTGATATATTTACGGTAGGAAATTTACAAAATATCTTCATGGAACATGATCTTTACTTAATGTCCTAATGATTTTTGGCATAAAAGAAAAATCTATAATTTTGACCCATACAATGTATTGTTGGCTATTGCTACAAATATACCCCAGCGACTTAACACTGCTTTTGTGCTCCAGAGTCACAAATGAAACGTCCAGTGATTGAGATGTAAACACATCTATATGTCATGATGAGGCTGAGTTCATACCATATGTAGGACGTATTTCTCAGCTTCTTGAGGGCCGGAGAGCTGAACTCGACACGCCATGTCTTGTAAGGATAATGTCAAGAACGTCTGTCAATCACAAGAACAGAGATTACCGTTTCTGTTTAGTCGAACTGAGATTAACCAAAAAAAAAATAAAAAAATTAGGGCTGTCGATTTAACGTGTTAATTTTGTGCGATTATGGAAAAAAAAAAAAAGTTTCAAATGAATGCATTTAACGCAGCATCTAACCACATCTTACACTGATGCAGTTGCTGATGAACATGATGCAGGATGACTGACTGCGTGATGAAGCCTATTAGAATGCAGTTTTATGAGCCTAAAATTCAAGATACGAGCGAAAAAAATTACGCTCTTGTACTTGTCATATGATAGAGTTTAGAAACATCCCACCAGCAAGAGTGCTGTTTTTTCCCGAATATCTGCACGATATACAAACATGATATTGATTTAATACAGCAGTTCAATAGTTAATATTGTGTTACATTTTAGACAATATTGTCAGTTTTGCTCGATTTCGCAAATGAAATTGTTCCAAACAGCTCAACTCTTTCATTACTGAATCAATCTTTGGTTTTTAATAAACGGAGTGAATCAAATGATTCAATGGCTTGTTCGTTTCTGAATGAATCGGCCGTTTGATCGAATCAGTTGAATGAATGACTCACTCATTTAGACAGTAACTCGCCGCCACATTTCATATTTCAATATTCATTTAAAAAACAAAAACAGGAACGCCTATTTAAAACCTATTAATCTCAGCATTATTTTTGCAATTCTATTTGCTGAACAGTCTGTGTAAATATACCTAAATGGCACTTCATAAAAACCCTTATATGCCATTGTAGCATAGTGTAAAATAGGGCTGTGCAATTAACCGAAAGTTTCGATTTCGACTTACAATGATTATGAAAACCCAATAATCGAGATAAAACAATTATTGCATCCCATTCCGCTCCGGTGCGGTTTCGCTCCTCCATAAAAGCCCAAACTTATTGTGCAAATCAGTAAAATCATGTAATGTGATTTTCACATTATTAGACTTGTTCGTGTTTTTAAAAGCATGAAATAGAACTTGCGCTGTTCTGTGCATGCGCTCCGACACGGAACAGAACACGGACATGTAAGTAAACTTTTCGCTTAAAATGCGCGACTAAACGGTCAAATACACGCAAAAATGCGGCGCTTGGTGATTAAGTGAACGTAAACAGTTGAGAATGAAAACACGTGTGTAACAGTATATTGGATCCGTGTGGCTCTTAAAGCGACAGCGGGTAATATTCCTTCTGCCGTCTGTAATATTAATCAAACAAAAGACAGAGAAAATCACTCACTTCTCTTGACTGAAGGACTTTAATTCAAGGAGTTTAATTCTTACAGTGAAGACTATGCTGTTTTGTTTTACATTTAATTATTCAATTTCTGTAGCAGGCTGCTACCAAATACTTGCATAAAAAACTTAAAAGCACTGTTTATTTCATTTGTAT